GTCAAGTGGAGAATTATTTTCTTTCGGACGTGGACCTTGTCTGGTCCGTGCAACACGACGTCGCCATCCAGACGCGGCTCGTTGTCGCCTCTCGGTGCACGGAATGGGTCGTTCGTCAATATTGTACTGACAATAAAATTTATTGAATTTGAGAGAATAAATATTTTTATTTCAATACTGCCTTAAATTGTTTACATAATTAATAATAATTAATAATAATTGATTTGAAAAATGAGTGGAAAAATATTTATTTGTGATTTAGATTATAAGAAAAATAATTTTTTAGTGCGCGAAATTATGCAAAATTTCGGCAACTGACAAAAAAATTGAATTTGAGAGAATAAATATTTTATACAAATTATTAATAATAATTTGAAAAATGAGTGGAAAAATATTTATTTGTTTCAGATAAATGATTTATAAGACAGATTATAAGAAAAATAATTTTTTACGCGACGTGTAATTTAATACATAAAAAAATAATTGTTTTCTTTCGGTGCACGAAATGGGTCGTCCGTCAATATTGTACTGACAATAAAATTTATTGAATTTGAGAGAATAAATATTTTTTATTTCAATACTGCCTTAAATTGTTTACATAATTAATAATAATTAATAATAATTGATTTGAAAAATGAGTGGAAAAATATTTATTTGTTTCAGATAAATGATTTATAAGACAGATTATAAGAAAAATAATTTTTTTAGTGCGCGAAATTATGCAACGTGTAATTTAATACATAAAAAAATAATTGTTTTCTTTCGGTGCACGAAATGGGTCGTCCGTCAATATTGTACTGACAATAAAATTTATTGAATTTGAGAGAATAAATATTTTTTATTTCAATACTGCCTTAAATTGTTTACATAATTAATAATAATTAATAATAATTGATTTGAAAAATGAGTGGAAAAATATTTATTTGTTTCAGATAAATGATTTATAAGACAGATTATAAGAAAAATAATTTTTTTAGTGCGCGAAATTATGCAACGTGTAATTTAATACATAAAAAAATAATTGTTTTCTTTCGGTGCACGAAATGGGTCGTCCGTCAATATTGTACTGACAATAAAATTTATTGAATTTGAGAGAATAAATATTTTTTATTTCAATACTGCCTTAAATTGTTTACATAATTAATAATAATTGATTTGAAAAATGAGTGGAAAAATATTTATTTGTTTCAGATAAATGATTTATAAGACAGATTATAAGAAAAATAATTTTTTTTAGTGCGCGAAATTATTAACGTGTAATTTAATACATAAAAAAATTATTGTTTTTTCTCGGTGCACAGAATGGGTCATTCGTCAATATTGTACTGACAACAAAATTTATTGAATTCGAATAAATTTTTTTTTATCTCAATACTGCCTTATAATCGTTTACTAATAATTATACATAATTAATAATAATAATAATAATTGATTTGATGTAGAAAAATATTTATTTCAGATAAATGATTTATAAGATAGTATTAAAATAAATATTTATTTAATAACTTTTTTTTTAGTGTGCGAAATTATACAACGTGTAATTTAATACATAAAATAATAATTGTTTTCTCTCGGTGCATGGAATGGAATCAATATTGTACTGACAAAAAATTTATTGAATTTGAATAAATATTTTTTATTTTAATACTGCCTTATAAATTGTTTATTTGAAACTAATAATTATAATTAATAATAATTAATATTGACGTGAAAAAATATTTATAGATAAATATTTATTTGTTCCAGATAAATTATTTATAAGACAGTATTAAAATAAATATTTATTAATTTAATAATTTGTTTTTCAGTGCGCAAAATTATGCAGCGTGTAATTTACTTTAATACATAAAAATATTTTTTTTTTTTAAATTAAGCAAAGGAGAGGAATCGAATGTTTTTTATATTATCTCAGAATTTTCACACACACACACACAAGAAAGAAAAATACTTTATTATCTCATAATTTTGAAAAGTTTGAAGTTTAAAGAATGGCTACTTTAATATTCGTTAGAATATTACAAACTTACGACGTACTGAAGAAATTTTATTTCATGGAAAATTGTGAGTATAATGTTAAAACTTTTAGTGCAAATACTTAAAATTGTTATAAAAAAAAGATTGAAAAAAATTTTCGTAATTAAAGATTGAATTTATTGTCGCGAGAGAAAAAGTGCAAATTAACATTATATTTATTCAGGTTTAATGACTTTTTAAAAATCTAAATTTAAATGTAAATGTAATGTCAAAATAAATTTAGTTTAATTGATATATAATATTAAAATTGCAAAAATTGTATATAAAATAATTTTTCAGATTTTACTGAAAAATAAATTAATTTAACATTGAATGTAAGTTCAATATTAATGGAACAATACATAATTTATACAATACATAATTATTTATTGAAATTAATTTATTTCTGTAATTCTGTAATAGAGAGATTCAACAATTACAAAAATCATATTTATTAATTTCAATCTTTACAATGAATTTTTTCATGAAAAGCATAAAACACATGTCGTAAGTTAGCAAGATAAATTAATCTTAATTTATTTAGAATTGTGAGAGATAAAACATTTGAAGTCAAAATTATATCAAGTATATAAAAAAACTATAAGTAAGCAATGATTATTTTTTTTAGTTGTTAAACTGTATTATATAATAGACTTATTGGATAAACTACGAACTTTGATTCATTCAATTTTTCTCTCAAAAGAAAAAGTCACTTTTGTTTCTGTAACTTCTTAATTTGATAATTAAACAAATAACTTGAAATAATTTTTTCCGAAGAAGCCCTAAGTATTCGAGATCATTATTCATTTTTATTTCAAAATCTTGACATGTAATAATATTAAATATAATATATAATATAATATAATAATATAATATATAATATATTATATTATATTATAATATTATATTATTATATATTATTTAATATTTTAATATATTCTCTAATAGAATTCTTAACCAAAATAACCAATAATTTAATAATAACATTATTATTAACTAAACTTGGAAATGATCGACACTTTGATATTTTTGCGAAGGTTGCGAATTGGTCAATGGATACGTCTGGCAAGGTTTATTCAAGCGCTTATTCGGAAACGTATATTCGCGTCCGTGATTTATTTCGTTGGCGAAGCAACTGTCTCGCATTGACGAAATCGTGGCGTAATTTATGCGCCACGAAGGCGCTTAGCTATTTTGGCGACGAAAAATTCTGTAGGAAACAACGAGACAGATAGAGAGAGAGAGAGATCGGTCGAGGTAACAATTACGTTCCATTAATCGTCCCAGAATGAGATTAATACGACAATTTCGTAGCATGATAGTCACGTGTGGTAAGAGCCGAGTTATTTAGAGTCACTTGAGTTTGTTAACGCGCATATTGAACAAACTGGCATCAAACGCGTCGTGAAACTGTCTTGCATTTTAATCAATCGTAACAGCGAAAGGGAGCTCAAGGGCGAGATCCTAGATTGCCTTTAAATTCAATATTGTCTATCGCGCTAATTTTTCTTACATTTATTATTATGAAATTATTATGAATACACACGAAATATATAATAATTCTTACCATTTTATACACACAGAGGGGATTTTCTTTTAGAATTTTATAAGAGATTATTTTTATATTTTTATATATTTTTATATTCCTTGAGGAATTATATAAGAATTTCTCTGATTAATATTTACCACGATTAAAAATTTTAATATCTACCACAATAAGATAAAATATTAAAATAAAATATTAATAAAATATATATATATATATATATATATATATATATTAAAATAAAATATTCATAAAATATTAAAATAAAATATTCATAAAATATTAAAATAAAATATTAATAAAATATTAAAATAAAATATTTATAAAATATTAAAATAAAATATTAATAAAATATTAAAATAAAATATTAAAATAAAATATTAATATTTTTATTGTTGTAAATATTAATCAGAGCAATTTTAATAAAAAATTCTTCCAATACCATATATTATCCCGCACCATGATTACCATGATTTTCAGGGTAAATTCTAAGAGAAACTTCCCTCCTTGTATACATAAAATTAATTATAAATTTAAATATTGTTATATATTTAATTGGAAAATCAGAAAGGGTTCTTGTCTGAAGGATTTCCCCGAGGAATTTCGGAAATTAGAGGACGTCTCCTTGGTACGTGGACGAGAAGACGATGCAGAGAGAAGAAACCTACCGACGACGGGTCGGAATACACTGGCGTTTCGATGCCCGAAATAAACTCACCGCATTCTGCTTCTCTCTCTATCTTCCTCTCGCCTTCTTCAATTTCTAATGTAAGACTCTGTGACGGCTATAGCTGTACTCTCTATCGTTGTCATCCTCGTTTATGAGAGCGTCTGCGCCGGCGGTTCCGCCTGGGAGGCGGAAAGCGGCTAAAAAAAAGAGAGAATGAAGAAAGAGAAGGAAAAGAATCACGTGGCAATAAAAAAAAATGCTAGCATCTCGAAATCCATTATTGCTCGGGACGAAATCAAAATATTGGTTCATTGAAAAAATAGATTACTCCGAAATCTCTCCCGAGCTTTTCAACACCGACAGACAAGTGCGAAGTTAATGTGTCGTGTATAATCGAGATATATCTGTCTCTTCTGATGTCAAATAATAGAAGAGAAGCTTTATTTAGATATTAGATGTGTACGAAAGTAATGAAATTTTTCTTATACGTCAGCATCATCCATGTCTGAAGATTTACCTTGAAAGCTCCGCGCTTCTTATTTAGTGTATTATATAATAGTTTATTATTATTATTGTTACATACACAAACCTCCGCGCTTCTTAGTGTATTATGTAATAGTTTATTATTATTATTATTGTATCATAAAGAATGCAAAAGTTGGGGAAAAAGTATTCAGGTTTATTTTTATCTGAAAAATGATTGTAAAATAAGAGATAATTTTCTTTACAATACATCAGAATTTTTTTTCTCATTTGCTTTTCTTTTTACAGATAAAACGCAGGCAAGATGGTTGTCGGAGAAGCAAGTATACATAACATTATGGGGGGGATGGAGAGTACAGGGGGTGTGCGGCTTCACAACCACAAGCGGAAGTTGAAACAAAGGTAAATGTTAGTCTAATTTAAGAGTCCAGTAATCCACTTCTTCGTATAAGATGTTTTTATGCAGCTTGAAAATAAAAATTATATTAAGAAACAAATTCTGATAAGAACTGTCATAAATGAATAATTATAATTGGATACACAAGGTTTAATTCGACAATGTGATTAGATTAAGATTTAATCAGTCATCTACCTTTCGTTTTTAATTTCTCTTTAAATTATTTTTTGCAGATTTGATATCATAAAGAAATTAGGACAGGGCACTTACGGTAAGGTGCAATTAGGAATAAATAAGGAAACTGGTCAGGAGGTGGCAATAAAGACGATAAAAAAATGCAAGATTGAAACGGAAGCCGATTTGATCAGAATACGAAGAGAAATACAGATCATGTCGAGCGTTCAACATCCGAATATTATTCATATTTATGAAGGTGAGAATTTGAGATGACTATATATTATAAGTTTTGGATAGTATAATTGACATGCAAGTAGTTGATTAAATCCTCTTCTTTTGTCTAAATGACAGCTGATGAATTAATTGAATTAATAGAAAAGAGAATTAAATTTTCTACAGCTAGATTGATTTTGATGGGATAATTAACTTTCAGTTTGTTGTACGATTTATTTAACGAAATTCTACCAGTTAATTTTGCTACGTAATGTTACATTTTATTATGTAATTTCACAGTGTTCGAAAACAAAGAAAAGATGGTGCTAGTGATGGAATACGCAGCCGGTGGTGAATTGTACGACTATTTGAGCGACCGCAAGGTTCTAAGCGAGCACGAGGCTCGGAGAATATTCCGGCAGATTGCTACCGCCGTCTTTTATTGCCACAAACACAAGATCTGCCACAGAGATCTGAAGCTCGAGAACATTTTGTTGGATCAAGTCGGGAACGCGAAGATAGCCGACTTCGGTCTCTCAAACGTGTTCGACGAGACACGATTGTTGAATACATTCTGCGGCAGTCCGTTGTACGCGAGTCCGGAGATCGTGAAGGGAACTCCTTATCACGGACCGGAAGTGGATTGCTGGAGTCTGGGTGTTCTGCTATATACATTGGTCTACGGTGCTATGCCTTTCGATGGGTCTAATTTCAAACGACTAGTCAAGCAGATCTCGCAATCCGATTACTTCGAGCCCAAGAAGCCGTCTCGTAAGTATAATGCTTGCACAGAACGCTTGGATCATTTTATTCACTTCTATCTTCTGCCGTTTTAGCCGCCTCGGTGCTTATAAAGGAGATGCTCACAGTGTGTCCTGCTCGACGCGCAGACATCGAGAAAATCTGCACTCATTGGTGGGTGAACGAGGGTTACGAGCAAAATTGTCTCGATATTGCCGAGGATCTGGCGGCTCAGACCCCTGTTCGGTTGGATCTGTTGCTCTCACTGGTGCCACAGTCTGCCAGCGCCGAGAAGCTGCTGGTGGGCGATCAGCAGGCGGGCGGAGACGTCGCGAATAATATGTCTTCCGAAACATTAGTACCTACCAGATGCCATTCGGTCGGTAGCTTGATGGAACTCGATCAGAATAATTCTGACAGAAGAATAAGAGAGTTGTTCGACGAGGAACCAAGGTCTTCCGCGGCCGGGGATGCTAAGAGGAAGCTGGAGACTACATCATCGACGGACGAGACGACCGCGGCGGGGGTTAAGAGAAAAGAGAGATCCAGGAGGAAAGAGAAGTCGGATGAGAGAGAGTCCAGAGCCTATAGATCTGTGTCGAGGTAGATATTAATTTTGAAATTACTTTCTGATTAAGATTTAAGGAATGTAATGTGTGTAATGATAAATTTTTTATTTTAGGCATCATTCGGCTCCAATTCCAAATTCTATATCGGAGGAGGCGATGGAGGTGGATCCTGCAGCCCTTCTAACTGTTCCTACGAGTAAGACTGTCGATTTTGATATATCAGAATGCGCGGCTGCTTGCTTAGAACTCATCGAAGAATCAAAAGAGAGATCGCCGAGTAAAGAAAGGAGCAAGACACCGTTGATGAGCGAATGCGAACAGTCGCACGAACCAGTATCCACTGAGAACGTTCAGCAAATACATGAAATTAATGAAAAGGCTAGCAATGAGCAAGACATGTCTCCACAAAAGCATACCAAGTCTCCTAGCAAAAGTTTACACGAAGATACAGATACTGTTTCGGAAAGCGTCAATAAAACAAGCGAGATGCCGCTTGATCAGAAGTCGGATACCCTGGAATCAAAAGTGCCAAACGAAAATGACACAAGTACCAAAAACGAAGCGTACTTGTCGCAAGATACGCAGCAATTCGAACCAACGGAGAACGACTTCAAGAAGCTCAAAGAGAAAGCACTCTCTTTTAACTCCGAGCTGCCAAATGAAGAGATAAGTCCACCCGCTAAACCCGTTGAGAGACGGCGCTCAAAGATATTCGAGACTGCTGAGAAATTTAATCAGCTGGCGTCTACTCCGGAAAATGAGAAACCTAAGAAGATATTTATTCCTGGTGTTAACGTGGGAGGCGCGAAGCGAGCCTTTGAACGAAAGGCCAGTCTCTCCTCCGTAACCACGCCACTTCCCGTAAAGGCCAGCGCGTCTAAAGTTATTATCGATGTGCCAACAGACAAGAAGGGCGAGAAGGAGGCAGAACAAAAGCAGACGGTAGAAAATCAGGAAATTGTAACCACTGACGACAGATTGAATAAGCGAGACGAAGCGAAGAAACGCGCCGTCGATATCATAAGCGGCGCGATTGGCAAACCTCCGATGCAAAGAAAGTTGAACGGCTCGCCACCAATATCGCCTCCAAGCTCGGACTCCAAGAAACTCGGATTAAAGATACAAGTTGCACCGAATGACATGCGATCAGCCACTGTCTCCGTCTCCACGCCAATCGAGACGAAATTTGAAGGCAAGTCGGCGACACCGGAAGCAACCGTAAGTGCGAGATTAACACTATTGTTAGCGCATATTCCATCTATTACCAATCGGTTCGCATTTGTTTTTTCGTTTTCTTTTACTTTATTTTTTTTGATAGATAACTAGCACGTCATCTGCTACCGAAAATTCGCAATTGGAGGAACCTAAGATGTCAAGTAAAATGGAGATAACATTAAAGAGCGCAACATTACCTAGACGAAAAACTAGCAAAGCCGAAATTACGTTATCCGGGTCCAAGCCGCCGGAAACCGTAGCGTTTAAGTCCAAGATAGAGGCTAAGATCGATGCTTTTCAGCCGCAGAAACTGCGTACGCAGAGATCGGAGGTGGCGTTTCCGGTCGCCGCAGTGGGGTTGCCTCGTAGGAGCGCGAGCTTAGAGCCGGAAGGCGGACTTCAGCCTCCACCGCCGAGAGAGAGAATTATACCAATTCAGGTTTGATTTTTCAAGCATATACAGTACCTCCATAAGTTTGGAAACACCTTACATTTTACAGTTAAAGAATTGCATGGCAGCGATCTGTTATAAATCAAAATGTCGTTTAAATATTTTATGTTTATTTTATGATTTATTATTTATACAAAAAATCTGCACAGATCTGTCAAAAGGATCATCTTAATTTAAGAGAAAAATTCTCTAAAGAAATATTCTTTAATTAGATATTCGTAACATGCAAGAATATAAACTTAATGGAATGTTTTTTATCAGTATATTATTTGAAATATTATTAATCGTGTTAACAAGAAATAGTCTTATAAATGGATATTTGTTATTTATTGCATTCAGTACCCTTCACAAATTTGAGAACACTTTATATTTTACTATTAAACAATTGCATGGCAGCGATCTGTCATAAATAAAAATGTCATTTAAATATTTTACGTTTGATTGATACAAAAAATCTACACAGATCGCTGCCATACGATTGTTTAACTGTAAAATGTAAGGTGTTTCCAAACTTATGGAGGGTACTGTATATATATATATTTTTTTTTTATTTTACATGATGAAATTAACTCTTGCTTTTGCAAAACGTATAGGTGGAAATGGGATCTGAGGATTATTCGACCACACCGCCGATTAAACCGATCTTCCAGAAATCAATGTCTCAGCGATCGGGCTCTCTGTCGCGTCAATCGACTGCTGATTCGGACACAGACAGCGCTCTCGGGTCAACAGTGGGTCCGGAACCGATCAGAAAGAGTCCTAGGGAGTATATAATTCCTATCGCGGTGGAGGGTGGCGGTTATGTCACTCCTAGATCGGGTAGTCTGGAGCCGGAGAGCAAGACTAGTACACCGACAAGCACGAACCCACCGAGATCCCGATTCGGTAGACCCAGAAGAATGAGTTCTCTCCTCTTGGATGCTAGCGAGGATGAGTCTCCCTTTTCTTCGTTGCACGGGTAAAGGATACACTTTATGAAACCAAATAATCTGATAAACACGTCTAACGTGTGTCTACATATGTATGAATGTGTAGCTAAACTGTCATCAGTAGCTTAATCTTATCCTTTCGATTTCAACAGCGAGGATCTACTGCAAAGACACATGCATCGGTTGAGGAGTTCGCGGCCGTCTAGGTCGACCGAGCACGCCGACAGCTTGTCATCCGGCGAGGACGACGATGACGACGGTTTCGAGTTACTGACGGCCGAGAATTTGTTCTCGACCTTACTGTCCAGAGTGCGAAGTCTGACGCAACGACTCAACGTCGATGATCGACCCGGTGGTTTCCCGAGCAGCAGACTGTTCAGTCGACTTGGCTCTCAACCCGCGTCTCAAGCGTTTTGGGGTCTTAACAAGCCGTTGTCTAGGTAAATATACGCGTATCTCGTTCTTATAATTATTATCGCGTGTGCGAATGTTCTAAACATTTTCAGCTTGGACCTAACAGAGAATAATTATATTTAAGCATCTTTAATGATCTCTTGACATTATTGATTGATATATTTATGCTTGTCTGTGCAAGCTACGAGAGCTATGTCGAAACACGGACAATGACTACGTGAGTCCAATTGTTCAGAAAGAGATTTTGTAATAGAACGTAGTGTAACACGCGTCTGTTAGCCGAGATACAAATAGTAGTCATCGTGAAAAAAAAAGAAAGAAAGAAAGAAACACAAAGATCGCAATTGGACACAAGAGCAGCAGGTTAAAGAAACTAGATATATACATGTACATGTATGTGTCAGTCAACCTAATTTCACCACATCTCGGCTTAACAACCATCACGTGCCGCACGAAGACACCTGAGAGTAGCTCGTACACGTTGTAAAAAATAAACACGCTCGAAATACTTGCGATCAATCCGCATAAGGCTGACATCCCTCGCTTCTTGCCAAACACTCGCCTCTTACTTGCCAGTACTGATTTTGCCTTGGTAGACTTCGACTTATTTTGCGCACCCTCTCGTATCGCGGTCGTCTTGGATGTGAATATTCTTTTCTCACCCTCGCTGTCTTTATTTTTCTTTTCAAACACTTTCGCGTTCACTCTTCAAATCGCATCAAAATTGATTAGTCTTTACATGCTTACAGAAGTGATACCTTATTCTTTTTTCTTTCGCACAGGCGACTCTCGGAATCGCAGTTTAAACATTCTCTGAGTCGTGACGCGGACGTGTTCTCAAGGAGAGACTCCGCCAGCACCTCCAATCCCGGAACTCCAAACAGCCCCGGGTCTCGCAGCACACCTTCCAGAGAGAGCGTCTTTGAAATCGGGAGCAATACGCTGCCAAGAGGTAAGAGAGTGTAGTACGATCATAATCTTACAATTTTACGTGGCACCTTGACACGAGAGCGAGAGCAAATCGTAACAAAGTCAATTTGTGTTGACCATTTAAAAATTTCTGAAGTCTCTGATGTCTTCAAGTGCTGTCGCTATGTCGATCAAGGTCCACCATGAATTGTTACATACGAATATTCAATGTTGTAGAATGTTGACTCGCGCGTTTCACAGAAGCTGAAGTTTTTTCATAATTTTTTAAATTTGTAATCAGCCTCTTACTTTCTCTTATATATACAATTAGATCTGGTTTCGTTACAAAATATGGATAACGAGAGCTTCTGCTGGAATCGCCGTAGTCATCAGTGCTACTTTGTCACTAGTTAAACTTATTAGCCTTGTGAGAAAATGCTGGATGGTATTCAGTATGCATCTCCTAGTACCTAGCTGTTGTCGAGTCGTTGATAGACAGAGCACATCTTTCTGTTGATTTTTACCTATTGTTTCTCTCTTTTTTCTTTTTTTTTAATTTTTTAATTTTGATTACTTTCCTTTCGATAAGTTGATTCTTTGATTTCTTGCCTGACGATGTTTTGCAATTTTTGGTACTAACACACGGTAGATTAATTATACGGTTCATGTTTGGCAGAGATGGGTATATATATGCGGAGATGGATCTCTTTTTAATTTTATAAATTTGAATATTTAATTCGGTGTTATAAATAAGCGAAATAAAGTACGATATTGTCAATATTTTTATACGAACGATATTTAATTATTGCCATTTGTATTCTCTTTTGACATAGAAAAGATAGATAAAGAATTATTTTATAAAAAATATTTACATTCTCAATTTTTACAAATAACTGAGAGATAAAACAAATTCTTCACGATTATTTTTAAATTGCATATATTTTCGAAAGCATGTTTGCACGCATCATTCCCTCGCGGTAGCCAATTACATTTATTAATTTTTAATGCGATAAATAAACTCTCATTTTGAAGAATTTGTTTCCTAGTGTAAAAATTACAAGATTTGTCTAATGCGTTGTTTGGTAAAATTAATATTATCTTTAATACGAATTACATGTATGTTTGAAAAATTAAAAAAAAATTAAATAAAGAGAGAGTAACAGGTAAAAATACTTTGTTCCCTAGTAAGTAAATTAAAGAGACATAACGAATAAATAATGCAAGCTCACTTTGCCTGACATAGAACCTCGTAGGTAATACGCCATAGTTGTTGCGATGCACTGCTGCTGTTGATTTCCATTATCTCATAACAAAAAGTAGTAGCAGTTCCTTATTTTTTTTCATTTACCTATAGTGTTTACACTAAATATTTTTTGGAGCATGTTCTGCATACATATCCATATATACAATATACAAACAAGAGTCTCAATTCCACTATCCAAAGACTGAGATCCATATTTAATTCAAGTTCATGCATTAATTTACGTCTATCGTCGACTCTTCAATCAGTAATTAAAATAATTGTTTGTTAGCATTTTCGTAAAAAAAAAAGGAAAACTGAAAATTATAGTAGTTGAGTTTTCGAAATCAATTTGCTTAACTTAAACGACAGGGACTTCTCTAAATCGAGATCCTTTTTATTCAACGATGAGAGCAAATCTTATTAATGATGTATCAAAATTGTTCTTTTATCCCTTACAAATAATTTATTTTTAAAAATATAATATAAATATAAATATTTTATTAATAATATATCATTTATATAACATACGCATTAATAAAAAATTAAAAAAAAATGATAATGCATGTACAGAGAGTATACTTTTTTTTGTAAATTATTAGAGCAATATAATCTAGAAAATTATATATTGATATAATTTTATATTTATGAAAAAAAATAAGAAAGAAGACCCTGTTTGTACGCGAAAGGGACATATGTATATTAATGAAACGAGCTTAGCAAACAATTATTATCGGAGATATAATCTATAGAAAAATGTATACAGTGGCTTCGTTTTGATGACACGTTGATTGACGGTTTTATTGACGGTTGTTGCAGCGACCGTGCGAGTGACTCTACGTAGGCGGGCTGACGGTAATCCCCAGTAGACACAAACCAAGTTAGGTACTAATGCCTATATCTCCCTAATTCTCTCAAAGTGTTTTGACGTGACGCCGACGAAGTCACACACGCAGTATCTCATTATATATTATAGAGAAAGAAAGAAAAAAAAAAGAACTGTTCGGTCAAAACGCACACACTCTCGTCGTCAAGGTCCTTCGTCGATCTGTCTCTGATTGTTACCGCAGAATAACAGAATAATCTTCGAACGATCGCAGCGACTTGCGAACGGCAGAGAAAAGAGAAACGGTACAATTTTACACGATGGGAAGACAAATTGATGGACATTATTATATACACATATGACACTTTTCACGCGTGCATCTTGGACGAGACCACCAGACGTCCTGCTCGCGAGAGTTCCTGTGAGAGATTTTCCAGGTTCCTTGGTATGATTTATTCCGCAGACGTGTGCTTATTTGCGTCAAGCAATATTATACAAAAATTAATGGGAAAAAGTAAACGACGATGCACAGTGAAGTTTAATTTGACATTTCGATGACAGATATGTAAATGTGAATAAATCGTACCGAAATGTATCTGGTATCGCGAAAATCGTTGATAGATAAGTTACTTGTTGCCATGTTTTAAGAATTTGAGAATAACTTTGTTATACGAGAGAAAGAGCGAGAGAGAGAGAGAAAAAAATAATTTTCTCTGTGTTACGTATTGTTAGAGTGAGAGGTATTCGAAGAGGAGGAGAGAGAAAGAAAAAAAAAAGAAATCAAAGTGATTGTATACTTTTTTTGCAAGCGGAAGCTAACATTCTTGTCTGAGATGGCTGATATTTGTTGTGTTTTTAAGAGTTTAAATAACAGCGTTTTTATTACTTCACATTATCTTCGCATGCTTTGATATAATGCATATATATATACGTACATATATATATATATATATTTATATATATTGTATTTAATATTATGTATCCCCTTCCTTTCTTTGTGGCACTACTTGTTCTAAGTCTACTCATTTAACACATTGTGATTTAGGAGCATATATATATTTTTAATATATATGAAATATAGTATATATTATAGTTTATATATTATATATTTATTTATTTTACGAGACGCGTAATTTAAATATCATTACCAAATGTGTCGTTATCTTTTTGTTACTTAAAATCTACATAATTATTTATATATACATATATATATATATATATATATATATATATATATATATATATATGAAAAAGCGCGTCTTATTTGCATGATCACTGTTAAATGAGTACACATACTTTATAATTTTCTGTATTAATACCTACATGTAAAAAAAAAAAGAAAAATAGGCAGTACGTTTACATGCTACTGCTGTAGTATCGTTGATGTATATTTTCAAAGAGCCACTATTTACATATGATCCTTTTATAAGACTTGAAATCTTTGTTTGAAATCTTCCACTATTCTAAGTCATTGATATCACGTGGAGAACCTATATTAGAATCACGCTTTAGAGAGCTTCCATGACTTGAAAATATACATCAACGAAAGCGATGTAGTCCTACATAGGCGATATGTAGGGATCGTTTTTCAGAAGACGCTCGACAAGATTTGAATGAGAGAAAGAGAGAGAGAGAGAGAGATAGTGTGTGAGAGAAATATGTTTCATTTTATTTATTACATTTTTCGACAGAGAGATTTTATAAAAAAAAAAAGATTTATGTATGTAGAGAGAAATAAAGGAATGTAAATATACCGATATTATGAGAGTATTTTTACACAATTGTCCTGTACCACATCAATGATACCCAGTTGCCACACAGTACAGACACACATACACATATATGCACGTACACGTACACGCATGCGGAATGTGCATAGACCCTGTCTGGATTGCTTTCAGATAGAGTAGAGGAAGTACGAGACTTAGAAGCGGAGACGGCGACTCAGGTGAGGAAAGAGTCGCTGGAGCAGAATTTCACTCCCAGCTTGGCCCGCAGACTTAGCAGGCAGTTTATCGAGCAGACCCGGCACTCGATACCGCGTTCGCCGTCCGTACCTCGGGACGGCAGCAGGTACTGTCGCTCGCCGACGAGGGAGACCCCAGCGAGGAACCTGATCAGCGAAATCGCAAGATTACGTCACTCGGCTACGTCCGACCAGACCGAGTACAGAGCGAGATCGCTCGACCGCAGGAGCGGCATCAGGAGGACCAACAGTCTGCTGGAACCGTCCAGATTGGACCCATCGATGGAGAGACATTCGCCTAGGAGGAGCATCAGTCTGTTCGACGACGACGACGACGACAACGACGATGGGAGACTGCTGACGTCACTTCCCAAGCACGTGATGACCCTCGGACGGAAGTACAAGGAGTCGGTTAGGTCGAACGGGAGGCGAGAGAACTTCTACAATTACAGGACAACGGATAAGATTCAGGAGGAACCAGGCGATGACGCCTACTCGTGTCCGGTCGCAAGGAGGACACCGATAATATCGACAACGTCGTGGAGAACGGCTCTGTGTCGGAAGGTGCATCCATATCCGTGTGCAACTCGAATGCAAATCTGGACATCACCACAACTTCGAGCGGCGTGTCGGCCAGATCCTGCGAGACCTCGCCCACGGAGTCGTCGTCGAATCTGGGCGATTGCACGAGCAAGTCGATCGGCAAGTCCGAGCGCACGTCCATCAGCTTCGAGAACCGCTTGCTGGCGGCGGAGAACCTGATCAAGGAGTCGAAGCTGAAGAATCTGACGCCGCAACGATTCAATCCGAATCTCAGCTGCAACTACAAGGACACCGACAAGTGCGACAAGGAGGCGTTGATCGCTCCTTCACCTCCGGACTCGTCGTCGACCAGCTCCATCGTGTCCAAAAGACGCAGCTGCATCCCGAGTCTCAGATTACGTTCGGGCTCGTTGACCAGGGAGTCGAGCGTGAGTTCGGATCGCAGGAAGTCGTTCACCGGCTCGCAGGACGCGCTGGCCGGCAACGCGACTCAGGAGAGATCGTTGTTGAGCAAGTTCTTCAGAAGCGGCAGCAAGGAGCTCGAGCCGAAGACCAACAACAGACAGGACCAGAAGCCTAAACAGCATCGGATCTCGCGCTTCCTGCGACCGGACTTCTTCGACACTCCGCGAGAGGAGAGCCAATACGTGAAGGAGAAGGAGGCGCAGAAGGCGGCGGAGAACGAGCGCCGGAAGTCGCGATTCATGAGACGGAAGAGCGAGAATAGGGAAAGCGAGAGCGCCAAGGACGAGAAGATCTGCAAGGAGCAGAAGAACGAGATAAACGCCTTGCAGAGGGATAAGCTGGACAGCGTGGTCGCCTCTTCCGCTTCTTCTTCCTCCTTTTCGGAAACCAAGTCCAAGAACGAGGACAAAGAGAAAGCGAAGGTGGAACGCGCCTCCGGCGCGAAAAGCGGCTTCCTGCACTCGTTGGAGAAGAAGCTGGAGAAGTTGCGCGCGAGCGACGAGTCGAGTGCAAAGTCGACGGCGAATGACGGCGACCGGAAGGAACGTGAGTGCTCGGCGCCGCCCATCGTGCCAGGTCCTGCGGAGTCTGCCGAAGTGAAGAAGACGCTGAGCGTGGAGGATCTGACCTTGGACAAGAACGCCGGGACAAAAAACGTGTCTTCGGCCAAGGGACGGGTGACTTCGGTTTTGGGGTTGTTTAAAACGAACTCTGATGCGAAGCAGAACGGCCGGTCGCAGAACGCGATCATGAGCAGGCTGAAGCGGAGCCCACCCAAGTGTCCTAAGTCGACCGAGTCGGAGGAAGACAGCGGTGCCAGTAGAATACCAACTAAATTTGTCAGAACCGATAACAGCAAATCGGGAAAGAGAATGCCGGAGTCCAAGAAATCACCGGAAAAGGTGATTAGTGAGAGTAAGAGATCCCCACCCAAGGAAAAGTCGAAGGAAAAAGAGGTTATAATTAAAGAGAAGAAATCTCTGGTAGAGAAGCAATCGAGGGAGCTTAAAAGAACGCCGGAGAAAAATGTCCAATTAGACTCTTCCGCGGATAAAGTGAGGTCGCAGAAAGCGGAGTCGCCGAAAAAATTATCGGACGAGTCAGACTCTCAGAGAATCGTGGATAATAAACACGCGGAGTCCATTATTAGTGGCGAAGACAAGAAGCTGATGAAGACCAAGAAGAATATTAGCTCTCTGAGCAAGAACGGATCTGTCGCGAGAATCGACAAGGCTGAAGAAGTTGATAAAAAGACCAAGAAGCCGGTGAAGTCGAAGGAGAGCGTGGATAAAGACGAAATCAATGGCACTAAGAAGAAGAGGATAGTACGAGTCGTGAAGAAAGTCGTGAAGAAATCGCCCGACAGCTCCGAAAGCAAATCCGACGAGAAAGAGAGAACCTCGAAGCTGCTGGTGAAGAAGAAACCCGCGACGAAGAAGGAGAAGAGTCCTGAGACACCGAATGTTACGGCATCAGATTCAAAGGGAAACAACCTAGATGATCAGATCATCATGAAGTCATCCTGTTCGAAACAGACAGAACCGGAGGGAAACATTCAGGAAACGTCGTTTGCGAAGTTCAACGATGCTGGCGAACATCTTACGCAAAAAACAGATACATTGTCCAAGGTCAATGTTACGGAAGTTCAAGTTGGACCGAAATCTGACGCGAACTTGTCATTCATCGATCAGACCAGTTCCGCGCTTCAAAATACTTCGAACACTCCGAGTCCTGTAGCTCGCAACGATTCCAACTTTAATGTTAGTCCAACTAAACAGCTGGACCAACATCGGCCGAGCAGGGCGGGTCTGAAACTTGATCTGTCCAAGATACCACAGCATACATTCAGACACACAACTCCCAAAAGAGATTCGCCCAAGTCCGGGTCGCCCAAACCGAATCCCGCTATTGGATCACCCAAGGACAACCCTGTGGCAGAGAGTGGCGACAAACTGATAGACTGTCTGTCGAGGATGACGCATCACGCAAACATAACCGGGAACAAGATCATTATCGATAAACCCTTACGCGCCAAGGACGTCGCCGAGCTGAAACGAGAGGTCACCGAGTGCGTCAAAATCATGGAGAATCACATGGAGTCGCGGAACGATCGCTCAGACTCGCGAACTGACGATTGTTCGACGTTCAACTCTCTCGCAAGCGACGAGAAGCCGCGGGAGAACGCGATAGATCCGCCTAGACAGGTCAACGACACGGACAACGCTAAAGTAGCCAAAGAGTCGCCATCGGAAGATTGCCTGACCAGCGAGATGTTCTCGCCCGAAGAACCGGAGAGCTTCGATTCTTGGTCGATCTGCTCAGCTGATCTGAACCACAATCGTGGTGATCTACACTCGCCGCTGCTGTACTCGCCGACGTCGCCGACGTCATACTCCCTATTCATGCGCGGCGACAGTTCGGAGTCAGTGATAGACCGAATACGAAGACGCAGCTTCTACTCCAGGTTTAACGACCGGAAGAGGCCGTCCCTGACGGCGCCGCCGCCAGGGGTGAGCAGCGCGACTCTGCCCAGGAGATTCAGCCTCAACAGCTCTAGGGAAAGGGAGCGCAGATTGTACAGCTATGGCGTTTCCAGGACGAGGTAAATTCAATTTACGCTCTTCTTCTAATCGTCTTAATTGTTTTAGAGAATATTAAGTTTGACAATTAAGTTCAGGAAAATCTCATCACCAATTGCATATTTTTTTTTGTTGATTATCACTGTGGTCTTCTTCAAAATAGTCCCTTTAGGTCCCTTAGTATCAATGTGTAATTTTCCAAGAGGACTACTTTGAAAGAAGACTACTTGGGAAATTACACATTGATACTAGTGCTAAAGGGACCATTTTGAAGAGGACCAGTGATAATCAACAAAAAAGTGCAATTGATGATTGATAATCATCAATAGAGTATATATTGTACCATATAGTAATTTATTTAATATAACATAAAATTTATATCTATCTATCTCTAGGTCGGACAACAGATACGGTTCATACGGCGATGAGATATCCTGCAGAAAGTCTCCGGTCGACCGAGAGAGATACAGCGACCTGTCGTCATCGCACGGTCATCATAGTCCGGAGGCGAAGTCCCACTACGATCACCATTACTTGCCGTCTTCCTCGTACGATTCCCCGAAGAAGAGATACGTCAAGTCACCAACTTCGGATCTGTCGCGCGTTAAGTATCACAGCACGGACGTCATCTCGGACAACGATCTCGCGGTTCCGGGAGCCTACAAGAGTACCATGTCCAGGTCGTCTTTGAACGACTCTGGTGGCACAATGACGGATTTCTACTGCAATAGGGCCGCGTCGACCGCTCTGCCGAGGAAGTACGGCTCCAGCGTAAGTGGTCTGAAGCCGAAAAGCGTGGAGTACTATGAAGAGATCCTGTCACCGAGCAATCCTGACTATCTGTCGCCACGCGACACCTGTCGATCCCCGTTGCTGGACGGCTACTTAGGTAGATGCGAGAACGGCTATCATAACAACGTCGCGGATCTGCCGCAATTTGGCACTGACAGGCAAAGGTCCTACGCTGATAGGATGGCGGATGTAATGGATCTCGGTGAAGGGAACAGCAAACTATTTGGTGAGCAGGAAGGGACTATATTGAACAAACGCGTTAAATCGTCATCAACTTCAAGAACCACCTCTAATTTCGAAGATTATGATTTTTAATCTTTTTGATTTTTTTTCTTTAATTTACATTCTTTGATTTAATTTAATAGGGTGCAATTGTGTGACTGTATAAACAAATCTGCCTTTTTCAGAAACATAATGCAACGCTTCGGCAAAACGAGAGGCGCATCCTCGACAACTGCAGATGGATCTGTTACGGAAACAGAACTGAACTTTTAATTCAGATATAGAGAAAGTAATTTTATAAAAATAATATACAAGAATAGGAGAACGTCTTACTATTACAACGATTTTATATAATATAGTTTTATGATATACATCAGTGAATCTCGTCAAAGTCTTGCGCTTCTTTGTCACGATGATGAAATAATCGCGACGGTAGTAAAGAAGGAATTAAGAAATATTAAACGAATACATCGAATGCATCATCATATAGAAGTTACAATGATTTCCAGTTAAGCATGATTTTTTTAATGGGTTAGCGAGTCATTTCTTTAACGAGTTCGAATCTTGAGACATGAAAAATTCAGAAGCTTTTTTTTGTCATATGTGAAGAGAGAAGCTTTTAATTAAATTTTGATATGTTGTACAATTTCGAATTTGTAATTCAATTTAAGAGTCGGAAATATATTTAAAAATTTCTATTCATATTTATATTAGATATAAATACATGTAAAACAAACCAAATTTATATATATTGTTTGTTGTAAAAAATATGTATAACAATTGTTAAATCATCAAATCGTCAAAGATTATCGAAATTGTGTCTCTCTTGACTATAACTTTCTTATAACTAGAAATCATTGTATAAGTTTGAGGTTTTAAAACTATTTGTTTATATAAGATAATTCTTTCTGATTCAAGGATCACGTATATTTCATTTAACATATAAATATTCAAAGACTAAACATTTATTTTAATTGATTTTTTTACAATCGTTTTTTGGATCAGAAAGGATTAACGAAGAAATGTAAAACAAAAATTATCTCGGCTTTTTTATCGAGTTTACTTAGGAATATTTTAAAGTCTCTTTGACAGCGGAAAAAATTGCATTGACATAAATTTTAATGTCACAATACAGATTACAAGAGCATACTTTGGCTCCAATATTTATAGAAATATAAATATAAAGATCGGCAGCTATATATTATAATTATCGCGAATAGTAAAGATATGCAACGCGAAGAAATCTCGTGTTCGTGTCGTCATTCGTTTCATCGGTCTAAAAACTCGCGTTCCAAAGTGTCAACTGCTTTACGAATTTAATTTGTGTGCACGTATAGTCATTTTTTTTTCTTAAAAAATATTCGATATTATTCATATACTTTTTGCCATAATTTTATTCATAGGGTGACACGAATAAAGAAAAGAATGAGCTTTAAGCGAATTGTACAAGATATCCTACATGCGAAATAAGAGAAATGTCCTGCGTTATCGATTAACAAGCAATTAATCGCTCGCCTAATGATTTATTCGAAGCAGCGTGACGCTTTAGGGCGCAAAGTCGGAGACTTAGTAAAAGTAAACGACGCTTTAGTTCCTTATGCCTTGTACGGTCGAACTTTCATATTCTTATTTCCGTTTTTCTCTACTTCTTCCTTTTCCTCTTCTCTCATTACTTCACACTCGCGTGTGTGAAGAGGAAAATCGGGGGAAAAATAGGAACTTATATAGCAGGAGGAAAGAATAAGAGAGGTTCGACTGTGACATTTATGAGAAATTTTTGGTTGATTGCACGAGAAAAAGTAGACAACGATGTTATAGGCCTGGAAAGCTCTCTGACTGATCGGCCACGGTCTTCCGCTTGTTATGTATGTGTTTTCTATCGATATACATATTTTAAAATAAAAATATATATATATATATATATCAATACTCTCTCTTCAAGTGCCTCTTCTATCAGCATCGTCACTCCTATCATCTTTGCGCGAATAACGTCGTTTGACGTTTGACAACGAAAGATCTTGAAATTAGCTCAATTAGATGCTCGATTTTTTATTTTTCCCCCTACGATGGATAGAAAATTGGATAGTTTCGTCAATCGAGAAGTGAAGAAATTATGGCGACCCATTTGCTGATGAATCCTATTAAATTGCGTTTTTACATAGAGAGATACGAGAAGGAGAACAAGTTGACAAGTGTGCTAGAAACATTCGCGCCTTCTGTTCGAACGAAATTGTTGACCGGCAAGTTCTACGCGAAACATGACGTTATCCCACCGTGGGACATTCGAGAGGACGACCTGGACTTGATCAAACGACAAGAGATGACGCCTAAGGATATTTATTCATTTAGGCCACCAGCGGTGAACATGGAGTAAGTTCAGACGAAGAGACTCTTCAGTTTCAAATGACAGGTCATTTGTCTCCAGATACGGCTGGTTCTCCACGCCGCTGATACCGATCGCGAGGGATCCGAGATTGCGCTTCTCTAGAAAGCAATCGGATTTTATAACGCACGAGCTGGCACGCCGGAAGCTGCAGGGAGGTTCACTGGAAAGGAAATTCGCTGGGCCACCGTTCAAAATGTGACTCATTACTCGAGATACATTGTACGATTTGAAATAAAGATAGTCTTCTTTCAACTTCTCTTCCGAGTTTTCTTCCAAGTTGCAGCAAAGGGAAAGAAAGTTCGATACATTGATTCGAGTCTATGTTGTGTACCGCCGTTCACATGGCAACAGATACTCTTTCGCAAGATGGCATAGGTTCCTCGAAAGTGTACGCGTGCGTTTTTCATGCCGAAATACAGAGATTCGGAATACACGAGGCGCGAAAAATTTGTACGTCGCTGTAGCTCATCATGAATTTTGTCGAAACGAAGAGTACGATTAATCTCAAGATTCGGTAACGATGCTGTTAACCATATGATCGATGTGTCGAACTGTCATCGAAGATGGCAGGCAGGGCTTTCCGCATTAAAGTACAGCTAGACGTACACGCGGTACGTCTCTCCTCAAACATACAATTCAGTCTTATACGTCATAAAATTACTCGTGTCAAAGGGACATTTTTTTCCCTTCCCACAGGTGACGTGCCCTGGAGTTTGGCTGTGTCCCAATGGCAAGGTGGCCCTGCAAATCGACGCTCTCGACTCCTGCGTGGAATCCCGCAAAATAAACCCGATTTTCCCGCTGCTGTTCCACGACAGGTTTACATTCAGCAAGATCTTCGTTCAAACAGCCTCTCTGGCGGATCTGCAGCGCATTTTGGAGCGAGAGTTTCTGTTCGCGGAGCTGATACAGTGGACGACCTCGACTCATCGTCGTGGCATCACTCTGGCTACGTTTGAGATAAATCTGTCAGACTTGCTGTACCCTGCGTCGTGTTTTAAGGGTCTATTGGCCGGAGTAGATGTAGATCTGTTGATGGAACCGACTAAATGCTTTCCTGTGCGTTTCGCATATTTCCTGTGCTGTCCCATATACATATAAGGCTTTTCATCTTCCGTTTTTGCGTATCACAGGGTATCATAGCACCCAAAATCGAGGTTTCCACCAAAACGATTGTCGAGGAAGTGTCGGGCTCTTATGACACAAGTATGAGCAAATGTTATGTCATCAATCCAAAAATGATTAACTCTAAGGTACTTCATAGACGAGGATCGGCGACACGCATGTTTAATTTCTCTTACCCTCTTTCTTCCAAGGTTTGAGAATTATCCGGGATCTCTGTAACATCTCGGTCCTATGAATTTGTACGTTTCAGCAAACGACGTGCGGGCAGAGAAAGAGGCCGGTCAAGGGTATCATCAGGCAACGAAGAGTCTGCCACACCAAGCCGAGATCCCAAAGCTGCAGACCGTATGCATTATTATATACCACATGCATTCATAGATAGGTTTCTATCATTAATGTTAATAGCAATACATAGATACTTACTTCTACAATAGATATCGTCAGAGATCCAGCAGTGTCGGCGAGTCTCCTCATTGTGATACCACGAGCCAATGCATCGATCAATGTTATCACTCAGTAAGGAAGGATCCTCGACCATGTGTTCGAAGACAAGCTGAAGCTGACATCGTACGCGACGATGATATTCATGTTACAGACAATTGTCCAGTTTGTTTGAAATACAATTGTTACTTTTCTAAATGCGACGACGATTCGGACGTAGCCAAAAGATGTAGCGACATCAAACGCCAATGTCACAGACGTTTATTAGATACCGGAGAATGCTGCTGTGTTTGTAGATCGTCCGACGAGCGAGAAAGAGCGAGGGTGTCATTGTGAGTTCATTGAAAAATGTGTTTCTCGACAACTTTTTTACATTGACGTGTCCTTACAGATTACAAGCGAAAATTAGAAATCTGCAGAAAGCTCGAGAAAAAATGTGCGTCACTGAACCTATGATTCAGCTAGAGTAAGTGAATGAAATTATGTCGAAAATAGACCATTTTGATATGTTATTTAAATTTTGAAAATATTTCCAGCATCGAAGAAAGCGATCCAAGTGTATGCGAGTATAGTCGGGATCACTCCCGAGGCTACGAGTTTTACAAGGATCTAGAAAAATTTTATAAAAGAATGTACAAGCAGGCGAAATTACGAGCGCAGGAGGTCGACTGTTGAAATTGTTGTCGTTTAAATTTTTTCTACAAATTTTTGTATTATACACTTTTTTAAAACATTGTCTATCGTCAACGTTTTATATACACGATGTTCGACGAAAGAATCTCGCCGGGAGAAGACTAGTTGTGATTAATTAAAATAATTAACTGATGTAAGCTGTGTGTATAAGTTGGTAAAGTGTTCAAATGTGATTCACATTTTTTTCCAAGATGTAATAGAGATACAATACACACTGTGTTCTCTTTATCGAAGTATCAGTTATCATGTGAAAAAAGTGAAAAAGATGCGAGGAATTTGAAATATATATGTATGTACAAAATAAGCTATAAAAACTATTCCTTTTCCTTCATGGTTTGTACGCTTGACGTCCGTCTCTGTATGTCGGTGCATCTGTAACTCGGACGCCACGAAGAGCCACGGATTTCCTCAAAAGAGCCGGCGTTCTAAGGTGTAAACCGCGTCCCTGGGGGGTCCAGGCTCTCAATGAGACGCGTTCGTCTTCTCCACCAGCGATCGCGATCCATCCTATGACAATTAAGGTCCACCATGAAATTGAGAGATCATTATAAGGGTCAATTTCATCAACTTAAACCTCTAGTTAAACTATCTTGTTTCAGATACGTTCTTAAAAAGAGACAAAGATATAGTTTAACAGGAGGTTCAAGTTAACCGATATGTTGATGAAATTGGCTCTAAATGTGCTTTCAAAGTTTCACTTTATTGTAAGGAAAGATTACCCGCGCTGGATAAAACAACATCGGCGACTGATTCGTTCTTTCCGATACCAGTGACCTCCATATCCTTGGATCCTAATGCGGGCCAATGTTTCAATCGGTCCGGATTGTTCTCCGGTACGACAAACGCTTCCGTTTTGAGTAACTCGTTGTATAAATTGTCTGCATCCGCAGTATTGGTCATAGTAATCGGCAATTCTCTGCTCGAGAATATCGTACACCTACAAACGACATTGTTCTCAATGTACTTGAATATCAAGTTATTATAATCTAATATTCGATCATTCAAACGTGTGAAAGAATACCTGATGAAACTATCGCCTTCCAAGTAATCCAGTCTGCCGATTCCACCCAAAAATATAGTCTGATTTGTTTGCAGAATAAATGTTCGAGGCGAGATTATTTTCGTCGGCAAAACTGACAAGAGTTCCGGTGTTGTTAGCAGATCTAATATCTGGTCTGGTTGAATGGTACCGGGAGTGTCGTAACACCAGCGGCTGTACTTATACTCCTCCTTAGTTTCGTCGAAGCCGAACTGCATGTGATTCCTGCCTGATTCTTCCAAGAACACATCGTTTTGTTTAATTTGGAATTTCATTTGAAATGTTCTACCAATGTGACCTAAATTCAGATATTGTAACATTAGTATAATAACTCAAACATTTTATCGATTACGGCGAAATTGCTTATCGCCAGATGACACTCGATGATACATACTTTGCAATGTAGCATGTTTTAAATTATGCGTCGTTTTGAACATATTGTTCCTTAATTTCTCTTGATTTATGTTGTACAGTTTTTCATTTCGCAGCCGCATCGTTCTCATATAAAGCCTCCACTTGAGGGGATTTAAAATGGGAAATTTCAGCAGGTTCAAGGTTGTACCCGGCCAGGGAGAGATGGTCGCGCGTTGTATAAGATCCACAGCCTTCACCTTGCAATAATCGGACTGCAGCAACGCATTAAACAGGGAAGACTTGCCCACATTTGTGCATCCAATCACATAAACGTCTCCTAAAAATTAAGATATATATTTTGAATATATATTTTTTCTCTTCTCACATTCAAATTCTTTTTTCAAATCGACATGCTTACCCTTATACTCCCACAGATTATGTAACTTATTTATCAGTTCCTCTATGCCGTAGCCAGTTTTCGCAGATATAAGTGCTACGTGTCTGATTCTGTCCTTCCTGATTCCAGTACTTTCCACAGCCTTCAACAGGCACGTCTTGACGTGATCGAAGAAGTTTCGCGAGTCCTGAGGTAGCAGGTCGATCTTATTTCCCACTACGAATACCGGCGTCGCAGAATGCAGCACGCTACTTATCTCTGGCCAGATGCTACACGGAAAATCCGTAAGATCTACCATCATGATGACGGCGCACTTCTTTCTCTTTATTACCTTTAAAAGTTCCGGATATTCCTCCGCTGATACCTTCACTTCCAACGTGGTATTATAATACTTCATGAAGTGGCACCTCTGACAGATCATGGTCTGCAGTTGTCTCTCTTTTTTCCTAGAAACAGCTCCGAGGGCATGTAACCTGGTAGAGCGTGATCCTTGCAATGTAACAGAGCACCGCATCCACCACAGGGGACAGAGCTGATGCTGGAGTTCGGATCCGGAGTGCCATAATTGCTGAGCCACATGTCGTCTTGCATAGTATCATCATACTGCTCGACATCAACCATCCAGTTAGGTGGAACATTAGACAGATCTGTCTTGTACGAGGGATCCTTTTCCTCCAAATAGTCCTTCAGGTTGAGCTGTTGCCCTTCGTCCGAGGCCTTTGTCCTCTCCTTCAAGTATTTATCATATAGAGCCTTATACTTGTCGTTCAAGGGAATCGCGCCTTCGTGGAAGTCACTCTCGTCCAGGTCGCTCGACGACGCTGTTGAATTCAAGCTGCTGTACTCATCCGTACTAGCATATGGCATGTGCACAGGTTTAACAGACTTCGTGGATGGCTGTGGTTCCTGCAAACGACTATCGTCGCCCTCGTTGTCTCCTCTGTTCAGAAGAACACTGTAGACAGGAACGTTGAGGAGCCTGCTGGCTCGTTCTTGATTTTGAGCGAACTCGCGCTTCTTCTTTGTTATGAAACGCTTCATGTAGCCCATCGTCACCTTATAACGATCCAAATAGTCGCAGTAAATTAATTTCTCTCGCAGTGCTGCGACCTTGGGATCCACGTGCGATGGAGCAGCATCCTCCTTCGCGTCGCACCTGGTGGAATAAGCGAAGGTCTGCACCAGGTGCTTGTACCTGGTGCGAGAGGTTCTCAGGTGACAGTACGTGTTACCCACGTAAGTTTTCAACGAAATGATTGATTTAACGCCATTCGCAGACAGCATGATGGAGAGATAAAATGTACCTCAGGGGCTGGTTTTTGGGGTTTTAATCACCGGTTGGTGAAATAATACCTCGAGGTAGAACGTATCTTAGTATATCATTGTAGTTTATCTGAGATCTGTAAAGAGCGGAATTGGAAAAATTAAATTAATTATTATTTATACAATTCGAAATGTAAATAATTGAAGTATAATAGAGAATTGAAGAATCATATGCACAATATATCAAATAGAATTACTGATGAATTAATTATGAGATGCACAATTTCGCACGTGGATATGTAAACCACGATGTAAACAGAGAGCTGGAAGCAGCCATCTTGGTTTGATGATGTGTCTTCATCTACAGATGCAGTTCAGAAATGCAATTGCAAAGTCATTTCTCGACTGTCAGTAAAATAGATTTTTGGAGCGAATCTAGACTACATTTAAAAACCAGAGAGCGTGATTAAAATAAACTCAAAGATTTTTCTAAATATATTGCATATCATCAAAAAAGTTTTGTATGTATGTAGACATGTGTCATTAAAATATAATTTAATACCTATTGATCTTCTAGTATTCTATAGGAAATTTATTTAATATTCCATATAGGAATTTAAAATTCATATATGGAATATTAAATAAATTTTCATCCATTGAATCCTTTTTGAGCTCATTTGGACCAGATTACGTGAATTCATAATGAATTAGGAAAATATAAGTATGAATTCTTTCAAAAATATATCTTTAAAAAAAGTGTTTTAAATTGAAAATAGGAAAGTAAAAAATGAAATGTTTAAAAGATATAGACCTGTTGATTTATAATATTTTTAATTGGATAAAGGATTTATATATATACAATTTATTAAAGAAAATAATTGAATTCAAAATGAAATGTCGAAGTAAAACATAAAACTATATACGAACAAGTAACATCGACCTTTGCGTCTAGAAATAAATAATAATTTCGTGCGACAGTTATAAAATGAGTCAGGCGAATCGAAAATTTTATAAATATCTTGAGATACTTTTCAGAAGTCATACGCGAATTTATCATTGTCATGATACCATTAATTGTTGTGTGTGAACCTATAGAGACAAAATCATTTCAAACACGGTCGCAGGCAAAATAAGTAAATTATAATAAATTATAAATAAATTAATTATTAGTATCTTTTACGTACTATCTTATATGTAAGTATATATTGCCGAGTTATTCTGCAGTCTTTTACTTGTAAATTATAAAATATTTGTTATATATTCTAATACAATAAAATGACGATTTTGCTGAAATTTTTATATAGTAAAATTCACGTATATAATTATAACATCCACCAATGTCACTTTTGTTATTTATATTAATTATTAATTATATCATATATGTATATATTATTTAAATAAGTACGCGATATTTTATTAATGTAAATTGTCGGGAATTAAATTGATCAGCATTACATAATACAAAATTATATCATATATATAAGATATATATCTACTCTCTAATTGAAAATTTATTCTATAGAATTGACATTTTGTGTACACGCATTATTAATTAGAAACAAATTGCTTTCGTTTTTTTAATGACATTTTTTAAAATTAATCTTATATATTTTATTATTTTAATTTTTTACACGCTATCATAAATATTTTTTACAGGAAAGTAAGACAGTATAGAGCGATATTGATAACACAAGCAGCATAAAAAAGGTTGGATAAAAACAATTGTGCTCTCGAATCTGATTAAAATTTGAATAAGAAATCGTTAAGTATTTATAATGCATTTTACTAGATTATTGCGAATCTTAAAGAACGTTATTTTATATTTGTTTGTATCTAGTATTGGTTTCTTTCTAGGCATATCAAGTAAGACAATTTATATAATAATACACTATATATATATATATATATATAAAAATTTATTTAATTAATTTTAATATTTTTAGTTTAAAGAAATAAAAATTAATAATCATATTATTTGATTTTTACATTTCTGTTTTTTAAATATCTATCAAAAATAAATATAAAAAATAATTATATAATAACATTAAAATGAAGAAATATGAAATAGATATATATATATATTTATAATAAGAATTTTTTCAGTTTATAGGGTAATACCAATTAGTAAGGAATATGATATATTTAAATTTAATACAAAAAGTACTATTGACATAAATAATCCAAAAGATAATTTGGAAGATGTAAATAAAATAGCTCCGCCATCACTTATTTTATTTAATTCTGACTGGGGTATAATAGTTTTTTGGATTATGCTATTAATTATTTTTGTATATTGGACATTCATTTTATGTGTATTTACGATACTTCTATGTAAAAAATTCTGGTAAGCAAAACTAATATTTTTTAACATTAATGTGTATGCACTTTTATATCAAATATTAGACATATATATGTGCACACACACACACACACACACACACACACATATATATATATATCAATGTGTATATATATATATATATATATATAATATGTGTGTGTGTTTGAATATATATACATTTATATTAATGCAATAGGGTGAATAGATGTTTTAATTGTCCTTTTTCAATAATTCTTTAATCAAAACAACTTTTCAAACAAAACGGCCTGTAGTTTTGTTATAAAAGTTTACGAAAAAAATATTTTTATAATACATATACATAAATTTCACATTTTTTGTTGAATGATTATTTATTACAATATAGAAAGTTTCATTTAATTTATCATTTTCATGATTAAAAACATTTTTTGACACATTGTTACGATTCGTCATTGTTACAGTCCAGATTTTATAACGCCCATCATAGAATATTTGAAGAACATACATATAAGAGACATGTTGAGAATCCGCGGGTCATGTAAGTAATATATATGGAATAATTATATGCAGAGTATATAATTCAACTCAGTAAAAGTGCAAATAAATTATACAAACCCGTTTGCTATCAATATACAAGTTGCATGTATTAGAGATAAATAATTCAACTTTCGAAGTATATTTCATTTATCGAAATGAAAGGGATTTGTATAAATGTGAATTTAGAAATGCTTCTTTTTTAGTTATAAATATGTTTATTTCAAATTTGGCTAAATATTTTTTACTAATATTTTATTAAAAACAAGTGGTTGCAAATAATTTTCTTCGCAATTATCCATATCTCGCATTAATGTCACATTGGCGGTCGAAGATGAATAGATATATATTTCCAAGTATTTCGAATTTTGTGTAAAGCAATAATAATTTGATTTTGAAATATCTTTACAATAATAATTAATAGGAATATAAAAAAAAAATTGTATATAAAATGTTAGACAGCCTTTTTGGACACAATAAATTAATATTTCTTGCATTTTTATATGAGTATAATATGCTTCTAAGCATTTTATATTTTTATTAATTGCAATGTACACTTCGTAGTTATTATATCAAAGTTATTATATTAATAACATTAATTAATACCTCTAATTTTGCAGAGATCAAATGAATAAGAAGAATAATGTTTGTAATATGAAAAATTGACATGTTGCACATTATAGTAAATATTAACTAATTTGTGATAATGATAAGATCTTGTAAGTACGTTATTAAGTTCTAATCTCAATTTCAAGTTCTTTTGACAATATGTGAACAAATTTAAGCGTTCCTTTTTTTGGAAAATTTTTTGAAATATTTATGATTCCTTTAAAATGATTTTAACTAATTCAAAATATAAAAATAAAATTTATCTGCGATTTAGTAAAAATCTATTTTTAAAAACATTAAATATAAATTTAAAAAAAATATTGAGTAATTAATTAATTACTTTAATTTAAAAAAATTTAAATTAATTTATATTTCAACATTAATATATATTTCAAGATTTATACAATATTTATAATAAAGTTTTACATTTTACAATCAGCGAGATTATGTGATTGTAATAAATAAAACGTATTTTGTGTAAATTTAATTATTATCAAAAAAATAAAAAGAAATTTTACTAAAGACGTGGTATTTATTTTTTAAAATTACAATCACACAGTTTTGGTGTCTCTGGTCGAAACCTAAAAATTTGGAAAAAGAATACAGTAATAAAATAATTTTCATTTTCTTATCAAAAATTAACTTTTATATTTCAAATCCATAGATTTAACTTAAAGATAAATAGAAGAACTATATATTACAAAATCATTCTAAGTAATTAATTACTTAAACAATTTTTCTTAAATTTATATGTGTAATAATCTGATATATCACATATTTATATCATAAAACTTATTAATAATTAATAATTAAATATCAATAAGTTATCCTATGATATGAAATATGAGATTAAACATAAATAAATAACAAGAGCGCTCGTAACTTGAAAAATGATTATAATTTCAACAATTTTACATAAAGATTTTTTATTCTATTTAATTATCAGTATATATACGAACAATTAAAATATTGTGTTGTTAAAATATTGCATTATTGATCAATATATATTTATTAATCGTAACAGTATCTAAAAATGTATTAATTATAAGAAAACTATATAATTAAATTAAATCTTTAAAATAATATGATTGTTATTGTATCAAAAAGTTAACATCATTCAGTAAATACTTATGTGCGCACGTGTTCTTCTCCAATATACATAAGTTTGGAAATTAGTAAAATTGAATAATTTTAATATATCATGAATAAGTTGGATAATAACAATAAATTTAAAAAATAAAAGTAAATTGCTGCTAAAAAACGTATATAGTAATTTAATTTTATTTATTTATTACGGGATGATTTTCAATAATGTTATAATTAATATTTTAATTACACAATTTTGCTTTTTTCGAAATATGAAAATTTAAAGAGAAAACAAGTAATAAACTAATTTTTCATATATAATAATCAAAAATAAATTTTATTTTTGTTTGATTTAAATAAAATATTTATGCTTACCTCGTAAAATATATTTAGTAATATTAACCATATCTAAAAATGTATAATTTGTACTAATAGCATACGTATTGTGATTTTTTTGCATATTGTCCTGATTAATATACATTATGAATATCAATTTGTATATTCCGATTGCGAGACTTTGAAATTGATTAATGAGCATAATTTTTCGAGAAATTTCTTTGCGTTTTAATAGACATGTGTTTTTATAAAGTACCACTTTATATATTGCTATATTTATATTAATATTGACAAATGTCTTCGGCGTAATAAACTGTATAATATTATTTTTAAAAATATATATATTAGGAATTTGACCAATTATTAAGTCTTGTTTTTGTTAAAGAACACCTGAGAAAATAATACTACAAAATTAATTATCGATTAGCAATAAAAACGAATTATGATAAAAATTAAATGTAATATTTTGTTGATTCTAAGTCTGTTACATAAAATTTAAAATTTATGCAAAGTGAAAATTTTTTCAAATATATATCTCGCTATATTAAGACAGTTATATTTACAGTTTTTACTTACTTTTTATTTACATTAATAAGAAGTTTATTTCAAATAATAAATAAGTCATAAATAGTTACATTTGTATATTTACATCTCTAACCGGAAAATTGGATAAACCGAAATAATTAACAATGTCGATGGAAAAAAATTCCATCTAGTTTCGTAGTTTTAAAAGTAATTTCGTTTATCCATAATGTTTATAAAATGAAATTTAGAATTGCTAAAATAAAATATTAATAAAATATTAAAATAAAAATTATAATGAGGAAAATTTGATTATTGTTTAGCAACCCAGTGAGAAATGATTGGTCGAATCGTCATCGATTCGACATTGATTTGACAATGAATCGACGTCGATTCGATCATCATTTCTCACTGGGAATTATATAGACAACATAATATCAATAATATATAATACGAAATATATAGAATATTTAAAATTTATTTGCATATATGGATATACATATGTATGTACACATATAAATGTATTTTAAATATTTTATAATTAAAAATTCATTAATTACAATGTGTGTGTGTGTAATTTGTCCCCTATTTGCACGCTGCTTAACATATACTGTTAAAATTGTTTTACAAGTTTGTGTGACTTTCCGCGATTAAAGTTTATTTTACATTAGACATTCGGTTTTCTATAAATATGCATATAAGTTATTAAGAAAAAATTTTGTGATAATATTTTGATGCCAAATATGTAGGTACATAAAAATAATGACAAGTTGCATATAATATATTTTTACAAGAAATAGAGTAATAAAATGTTTTCAATTTAAATTTTTTATTTTTTAAAGCGCATAAGAGACGGATGAATATATGTGACAGTAATATATAAGTGTTTAAAAGTATCTTGATTAATTTCGGAATAAAAATTATTAATATTAATTTTACATATTTACAAAGGTTTTCAACATTATTTATTAAATGTAAAATTGAATATGTGATGATTTAAGAGCGTTTAGAAAACAATCTCGTGCGACAAAAGTCAACAAAAGTCAGGCGAATAGAATGATAACAGTTTATAAATATTTCGTTTATAATATTCAGAAGTCATATGCGATTTCATCATCGTCGTAGTGTCATCGTTGTATTTGTAGCGATTCTCAGACACAATCATTTCAAATAATCACATATATTTAAAGTGCGCGATATTTTATTATTGCAATTTTATATTTCCTCCTTTATTATGTATATATAAATCAATGTTGAACAAATCATTGTTGAACAAATCATTGTTGAACAAATCATTGTTGAACATACATATTAAGATCAGAAATGAAATCAATATCATGTTTACAAGATATTCAGTTTTACAAGAACTTTTACAAGCATTATTAAAAATTAATTTCTCGTAAATCATTCTTTGTATAAAACGGGCAGAAATATTTTTTTAAATTAAGAAATATATCCATAAAGAGAGATCCAACTTCTTATTCAACCCCCTTAGACTATTCAACTATCTCGATATTGTTAAATTTTTGACAAATTACCATTCCCCGATCTTCGAAATCAATATTAGCTCATCGACCTTAAAATTGAGTTTAATAAACAAACCGCGATAAACACATCAGCATGAAAAAATATGGCAATAAACATGACTCTTGATACGAGGGCGCAATTCGTACGATGGGCAAAAACATTTATAAATATTTGTATAAGAAGACTCGATTAAAATTTTTCAGCAAAAACAAGTCGATTATAATTCGATAAAAACTGGCGGGAGCATTACCACAAAGCAACGAAAGGAGAAACAGAGAAAGAGAGAGGAGAGTTGTGATGGGAGAGAAGAAGAAAATATTAAATACGCATGTGATATGCGCGAGTTTGTCCTAGTACTTCAAACTTTCCATCTGAAAAGGCAGTTTGTACAGAACCGTGAACTTTAGGAGGAGCAGAGATTATCACCGAGCGTTGATAACCGCGGATTCTCTCTCTCTCTCTCTCTCTCTCTCTCTCTCTCTCTCTCTCTCTCTCTCTTCTCTCTCTCTCTCTCTCTCTCTCTCTCTCTCTCTCTCTCTCTCTCTCTCTCTCTCTCTATTGGTCTTCGATATTGGCAATTTGCTCTTTTCAAGAGAGTACAATCTCTAGTCTATCGTTCTAAGCACTGATACTCAGATCACCTATTAGCTGACAGCGTGCGAGACAAATGATTCAGTATCAATAAATAATTACATAAGCTCGTTACGTATAATCAGCTGCTTATACGTAATCGTATTTAGAGTCTCATCTTTCTCTTTCTCTCTTCCTCTCTCTCTCTCTTTCTCCGTTTTTAAATATATTTATCGGAATCTATTACGACAGAATATGTGTACTATAAACTATACGTATTTTACGATTATGCGTAGAATTAATCAACCAGCAACAGAATTTATCGATTATTCATTACCGAAACATCGATATTACAATTTCTTTTCGCGCGTTCGAGATGTATTTAAATGCCTTTTCAAAAGTGTGTATTAACGAAGCAAGGGATGCACACAATTCTTTTATTGATATATGGATATTAAAGGGAGTGCTAAAATTTCAACAAAATATATCAAAGCTGAATTATTTTTTCAAGAGTCATAAATAGAATTTAATTGAATGAAAGAAAAGAGAAAAGAAAGATAAAACAACACTAACATCCACTCACGTAGCGTCCTCCTCCTCGGGTAGGGGGTTGCAGTATTGCTCGAGCTGCTTGATGCTGCACTGGTTGTAGCAGCAATCCTCGAGGATACTTCCACTGGAATCGACTGTCGACTCGTCCTCGTTGCTGTACGAAAACGGCCCGTTGTAGCCGCGTGTCCGACACACCAGGGCCAAAGCATCGCTTAGTTGCCGGGAGCACAGTTTCTGCATCCTGATCCTAAACTTATTATAGATTAAACTTTGGCTGTCGGCGACGCTCAGGATGCTTAAGAGGAGCAACGCGAACAAGATCAGCGATTTTGTTTTGCCTGTCATCTTAACGTTTCCCTCGAGGTCCGGAGAATCGCAATCGAGGTTGTAGAAAAAGGAGTCCTCTAAAAGTTCCAGGAGTCCAGATACTTGAAGATCCACATTCGCCGATACTCGGATCACGTTTAGGTTTATTATTGATATTAATTCTATCCGGTCGTGCGAGAGCCTCTTCAAGAGCTTGCCTTCAGTCTCAATGTGCAGTCTAACGTGTTTGGAAGTCTTTTTTTCCAAGTTTGCTCTTCTCGAAGGAGAAACTTCTTTCGTCGTATACGACTCTCCCTCGTTTCTCTGCGACGGCGGATCTTGGCGTGGCGTGGAGACGATGTTGAAGACCCCCGAAGTCCTGAAGAGACTCCCGTCGATACCGAGTTCGTTGATGTTACTGGTACTCTGATACCGGGCTGCCTCGCCACGCGGTTCTTGTTCCAGATTTCAGGAACCAGAGGGAGAGAGGTACAATAAGGAGGGAGAAGTGTAGTGGAAGAGGTAGAAGATGGAAGAGAGGGAGAAAAAAAGGAGGTGGAGGAGAGAAGAGACTGGCAGACAGATTCTTACCGGTCGTGGAGCTAGCGACACGAGGGTTGGCTAGGGGTGAACAGCGAAGGGGTTGTTAGCGTGGTCCAGACGCGCGCGTCCGATGGCACCAATTCGCTTTTTTATGCCCACTGCACGTAGGGAGAAACCCAACATCCCTTGCCGAAAGACGATTTTTGCACAGAAAAAAAGGAATCCTTGATTCAAGTATATTTTTATTCTTGAACGCTATTTGATTGATTTAAGCATAGAATGCTCTTTGTAATCACAAATTTTCATTTGCCTTAATAATAAATAAGTTTGTGTGAAGTATATTTTATCCTTAAGATATATTCTTGTTTGAAAAATCGCATATGGTAAAAACAAACTTAGTCACATTTGAACTAACAATAAGACTTATTTGACATTTGAACTTTAACCAAGAATATTTTGCATTTTGTTTTAAGGATAAATTATCCTTTATCCAAATTATTTCTATTTGGCGCTATTATAAGGATAAAATATACTCGAATCAAGGCATATTTGCATTCTTTCAAGGATACTGTTTTTTCTATGTGGGAATCGTCGTTTTGGGTACCTCAGACGGTGTCTCGCGCAATTAGAATCGAAATGTTTGACGTAATAAAAAAATTTTAATACGTAAAGAAAATCATTGGTGCACTTTTTATCAAGACCAGCTTTCATTTGGTCTATACTAACATCTTAAATTTTTCTGCAATACAAAAGCCTTCACAAACATATATTTTACTTATCTCTATCGTATTCAATATAACTACTTCGGAGTCTGTGTCATCTCTTCTGTATTAGACTAGCAAGTCGTCCTGAAGGACATCTGGAACTGGTACAGGAGGACGTACTAGTATATGAAAAGGGTTGACCATGTTACGTATGTCCAAGGCATGCGTTATGAACCGACGTAAGATGTTGTATGTATCACGAATGATGTTTCTGATGATTCTTATGATGATCTCACAATAACCGAAACTGTTATAAGTAATCAAAAATTGTTACTAATTTAGAAAATTAGAAAAAAAAGAAAAATATAATTTCGTTTGATAGAAATTACAGAGAGGTTCATAACATATATGAAAATCAAAGTGATCATTGAGATGTCGCATATTCTCGTAAGTTTTATTTAATAATAGATAATTATTATGGCATAATATTATTTCTTATTATAATAAATCGGTTAAAATAAAAATAATAATTCAGTACTTTAAAAGTAATAACGTGTTTATGAGAATTAGAAAATCAATAATAATTTTAAGCACTTCGTCGAAGTGTCAGAAATGTGCGTAATACAAAGTGTTTATATCTGCTATCGCTATATAGATATAAAACAATAACACAAATGGCAAAAACTTTTCAATAATGCCTTATTTATTTTATTGATAAAATCGTTACTTTTCTCTTGAATTTCTTGCGTATAATTCAATTATTAAGAAGTAAGATTAATGTCTTTCCAATAATAAATAAGTCATAAATAGTCACATTCGCATATACATCTCATGTCCATCGTTCGGTTTCACATTTTTTTTATTTATCTCTTTTCCGAGCTGGAAAACTGTTTGGATAAACCGAAATAATTAACAATGTCGATAGAAAAAAATTCCATCTAGTTTTGTAGTTTTAAAAGTATAGTTTCGCTTATCGATCATGTTTATAGAATAAAAAAACTCCACACTTTCGGACCAATGTTGTTATTATTAGAAGAGAACGATATAAATTTTTAGTGGACAAAATAGTTAAAGAATAATTCACATAATACATGGACGAATATATGACAGTAATGTATAAGTATTTAAAAGTAATTTAATTAATTTCGGAATAAAAGTATTAATATTAATTATATGTATATATATTTACAAAGGTTTTTAACACATTATTTATTAAATGTGAAATTGAATATATGATGATTTGTTAAATTGAATATGTGATGATTTAAGAGCGTTTAGAGAACAATCTCGTGCGACAAAAGTCAACAAAAGTCAGGCGAATAGATCAACAGTTTATAAATATTTCGTTTATAATATTCAGAACTCATACGTGCGTTCACCATCGTCGTAGTATCATCGTTGTATTTTATAGCGATTCTCAGAGACAATCATTTCAAATACAATCAGGTAAGATCGATAAATTATATTGTATTATATAAGTTAATTATTAATATATCTTGTAGTATATCTTAAGTAATATATCGCTGAGTTGTTCTTCAGAGTCTCATTCTTGCAATATATACACGGTAAAAAACATTTCGTATTTCTGTTGAAATTATCTTGTGTAGAAATTTTTGTGTTAAAATTTAACATACTCTTATGTTAATATAACATATTGTCGTTATGTTATTTTGACATTTGTCTGTTGAGTTAATATTCACTATTTTTAAGTGTTAAAACAACACAATTAAATGAAAATGTACGAATTTTTGCTTATATTATTTTTTTTGTGTTATTTTTCACATTACGTGTGTTATTAATTACATAATTGTTTTCTGTTAAATTAACATTAAAATTAGAGTGGATAAATTGGGACATGTGAAATGTGTTAAATTTAACACAATTTTTTTACTGTGTAATAGTTATTACAAGATTTGATATAATGAAATCAGCAGTAAGAAAAAATTACTACAATTTTTTTATATCTTAAAAATTATGTATAACTTTAACAACATACTGACACTTGTCATTTATATATTAATAATCACACATATTTAAAGTGCGCGATATTTTATTATTGCAATTTTATATTTCCTTTTTGTTATGTATAAATCAATTGTTGAACACATATATATTAAGATCAGAAATGTAACCAATCATCTTTACAAGATATTCAGTGTTACAAGAACTTTTACAAGCTTTTACAATTATTAGATATAAATTTCTCATTTTATTATAAATTTATAAATGTTGTTGCTGCTATTAAGCATTGACAGTAAATATACTAATATTTTGTCTTTCCACCAATTTCACAGACATTCAAATAAAGAGCTTATTTTATTATTGATTTTCCAATTTTCATAAATACGTCATTCTTAAATCTGACAATTATTTTTATATCTATGCCTAATCAAAAATTTATTATACAAATGACACTGATGCACAATATTAAAATATTCGTTATTTATATTAAGTAAAACTTGCAAAAAATTATGTCTAATTGGTCAATTAAATTATTTTACATATATATCTTTCGGTTTTACCAAACTAAATTGTGTTTTTTTCTGTCTAATATTGTTCTTGATAAATCGTCCGACACATGTATCCGACATTTAAATAAATTGATTATTTCTCTCTTTATAAATATATTATATTATATTAATTTATCACATATTAATTATAAAAATCATAATAATGTTTGTAAGAATACTAGACATTAATCTTACTTCTTAATAGTTGAATTATACCCAAGAAATTCAAGACAAAAGTAACAATTTTATCGATAAAATAAATAAGGCATTATTGAAAAATTTATGCCATTTGTGTTATTGTTTTATTATATCTACCATATATAGCGATAGCAGATATGAACACTATGTGTTTCGCACATTTCTGACAGTTTGACGAAGAGCTTAAAAATATTATTGATTTTTTAATTCTCATAAATATGTTATTACTTTTAAAGTACTTAATTATTATTTTTGTTTTAACCGATTTACTATAACAAGAAATAACTATATGCTATAATAATTATCTATTATTAAGTAACACTTGCGAGAAGATGCGACATCTCAATGATCACTTTGATTTTCATATATATTATGAATCTTTTTGTAATTTTTTCAAACGAAATTATATTTTTCTTTTTTTTCTAATTTTCTTAATTAGTTTTTTCGTTGTTATGTATCTGTCCTTATTATTTTTCACTATTATTTTTTCCATGCTACTATAAACATTTCTTTTAATCTTATAGTCATTATTATTATAAAATTTATCTTCTTAATATGTTTAAATTTAATTGTGAGCTATCAAACATATATGTAACTATAAAAATCTTTTTTGCAGATCAATACAGCATTGCATATCTTTATACTGATAAAAAAAATTGGATAAATAAACTACAATTTCGAATCTTACTGAAGTTTAATTAGGACCTTATTAAACATTTGCTTTCACGATGCATTTGATCAGTTTAATGAGAATCTTAAAACAAATTTTATGTTGGTCACATTTATTATTATTAGCTATTTTTGTTTGTATTTCAATGATACCAGGTAAAATGACAATTTATTATATATATATATATATAATTTTATAATATATTAATTTAATATTTTATTTAATTATATATTTAATTTGAATCGTAAGAGATGGAAATTAATGATCGTTTTCACATTTTCTTACAATTTTATGTTTTCTTAAATATTTATTGAAGAAGTAAATATGAAAAAAATATTACATATTATATTAAAATTAAAAATTGTGTACATACGACATACATACGCATACATACACACCTGTTCTACTAATAATCAATCTATATAATTGTGTGTAGTCTTATTACTAACAAATAAATTGATTTATGGTACGTATTGAAATATTAATAACTGTGTCATAGTTGCTGTGATATGTAAAGCAAATAATGAGAAACATACTGTTACGGAAAATATGTCAGTATTCGTCACAAATGCTAGTATTCTGGATAATAATAAGACTAAAGAGCAAGTCCCTACAGAACAACACTCTGTCAATCTTATCATATTTTATATTGCTATTGCAATTGGAATTCTATTAATAATACGGCTCTATTTTTTTAGGTAAATAAATACTTTTACAGTACAATTTGTATATATCGGTAAATAGATACCTTTTCAACATCAGTGTTAACTTTTATACTAAATATACAATACGCACACAAACATACACACATAATTTATTTTACTGTAAATCTTTACGAACAATAACTATAGTCTTATATATATATATATAAGTAGATATATATGTACATTTGTGTGTGAGTGTGTATATATATATATATATACAGACAGCCATATCCGCGTTATATATATATATATATGCATATGTTATATAAAATTCGTAGTCATTTAGGAATTTTATTGTTAGTACAAACTTATAACGTCATTATTATTGTAATAATTACTAATTTAAATATAGAAAGTTTTGTTTAATTTGTTATAAATATTTTTATTATTGAAATTATTTTTTATCATCATCATCATTTATTTCGAACTTCCCTAAAGGTTGCCGGGGCGTTTTCAGGGGTGCGTCAAACTTTTATAATCTCCTACTCTCTTTCATTATTACAAAATATCATCCTTCTCTTTCTCTCCTATACATCATATTTCACACAGCTTACACATCTATCTCCACTCTTATTTACAACATTCGCTTTTTTCACCCTGGCTTTTATTGACTTTACAATTCCGCTACAATACTACACCAACACCAGGAATCCTCCCTCTCCACTCTTTCTTTTGCCTCCTCCTTCACCTTACTTTTTCCTTCCGGTCAGCGCATCTTCGGGACGAGTATGTTTCTGTTGTCGTCTCTTTTGAAATCTATTCTTCTCGGCCATTTTGAAATCTATTTTTTATATTTTATTACAATTTTCTATTATAACAGGCAATGTGTAATCATCGTAGAAACCATCATTCAAACCGTCATAAATATCATTTGGGTTTTATTCAACATTCTACGTCGATTGATATCGTATGTCTTGAACATACGTAACGTCTCCACCCTTTTTCATGTGCTTGCGCGTCCTGCTGAACAAGTTCTAGTTGTCTATCAAAACGACGTGCAAGTCCCTTACGAAAACATATAGAGATAACGGAGAAAACGACGCAGTCATATTTAATGAGCGACAGGTAAGTAAAATGTTTGTGAAGGTTTTGGTATTGCAGACCAATTGAAGATTAGTAAGCCAAATAAAAGTTGGTCTGGATAAAAAGTGCAAATGCCAATGATTTTCTTTACGTATTTAAATTTCTTTATTACGTTAAACATTTCAATTCTAATTGCTGCACCGTCTTCAGCGACTGTTAAATCATTCAATACAAATACAATAAATTAAGAGATTTAAATTATAACATTTCTCTTATAAATAGATGTTTAAAGTCAAATTTTTCGTGCAAATAATGAGAAAATAAATGATTAATAGTTTCAGAACAAACATGAATGCATTGCTCTTTTCCGTGATTATAAATATAATATAGAATGTATACAATATAGTGTCATCTCTGTTTTTCAATTCGATAAAAGTACATTAGTTTTAAGATCTACTACAGAACTTTACATAAATGGGTTTGCGACAAACCTATCCACATACATATATATTTTTATTTTTATAATGAGCACATTGAATATGTTTTTAAAATTTATACTTCTTTTATCTTTCACAATTGTATATTGTATATATATATGTATACAAGTTTATTGATATATTTCTAGTATTAATAATATGTCTCATTTCTTACAGCCTCCAGAGTACGACTAGTGACGTTTTACATAGTACCGCTAAAATTTACTTTACCTAATATTAGAGATGAGATTTCGTAAGTATACGTTATTAAGCCCGAATCTCAATTTCATGTTGATCAGCTTTTAAAAAATAATCGACCAAATTAGCCAAAATTTGTTTATTCAAATTACGACGGTTCGACTATATAGTTGTAGTCCTTATCAAGTATAAAATTAAATAATTAACTTTGCAACCACTCAACATATTCGAGTTAAAAAATTATCGACGAAGTTATATAATGACATGACGTTCTCACTTCTTTTAATGTGTGACAAGGATGCTAATAATTTTTTAACTGGAATATGTTGAGTGGTTGCAAAGTTAATTATATTTTTCATTGGAATTTTGAACTTGTTAAGGACCATAACCATATGGTCGAAACGTAATTTGAATAAACAAAGTTTGTCTAGTTTGGTCGTTTATTTTTAAAATTCTGATCCTGTTAATAATTTATTAGCGATATTCAGGTATCTTGATTTTTTAATTTTAAGTTAATCTGACAATGTGAACAAAGTTTTCCTTTTTGGAAAATTCTTTTTCAATATTTATGATTCTTTTAAAATTATTTTAAATAATTAGTTACTAATTATTTATTTTAATTTTATAGAAATTAAATTAATTTATATTTCAAAATTTTCTCCAAAATTTATAAATTTCGAAATCGGCGAGATTATGTGATTGTAATAAATAAAAAATCTTTCGTGTAAATTTAATATATATCAAAAAATAAAAATAAATTTCTACTAAAAACGTGGTAAATTATTTATATTTTAATATTATAATTATAATTATAATTATAATTATAATTATATATTATAATTATACACGGCTTTGCGCTGGTCGAAATTTAAAAATTTGGAAAAGAGCAGTGGTAAAATAATTATCATTTTTTTATCAAAAAATTAAATTTTGTTTTTCAAATCCAGATTTAACTTAAAGATTAAATATAAGAACTATATATTACAAAATTGTTATAAGTAATTAATTAATTACATCATTTTTCTTATATCATTTATATACTCGTAATAATCGAATATATCAAATTTATATCATAAAACTTATTAATAATTAATAATTAAATATCAATAAGTTATGCTATGATATAAAATATGATATTAAACATAAATAAATAACAAGAGCGCTCGTAACTTGAAAAATGATTATAATTTCAACATTTTTACATAAAGATTTTTTATTCTATTTAATTTTCAGGATAAGATTAATTAAAATATTGTGTGTTGTTAAAATATTGCAATATTGATCTTTATGCATATATTTATCAATCATACAATATTTACAAATACATGACTTAGATATGTAAGAAAATTATAATAAAAATTAAATCTTTACGGTAAAATGATTGTCATTGTAACAAAAAATTAACATAATTCAGTAAATACTTATATGCGCTCGCGTTCTTTTTCAAAATATGTGAATTTGGAAATTAGTGAGATTGTGTAATAACAATAAATTTAAAAAATAAAGTTAAATTGCTGCTAAAAACGTAGTAACTTAATTTTATTTATTTATTACGCGGTTCTATTTAATAAGATTATAATTGATATTTTAATTATACAGTTTTATTTATTCAAAATATAAAAATTTGAGAAGAAAACAAGTCATAAACTAATTTTCCATTTTCTAACATTTAGTAAACAAGAATAAATTTTATTTTTTGTTCGATTTAAATAAAATATTTATCAGCTTTATGTTACATCGTAAGATATATTTAGCTTACATCGTAAAATATATTTAGCATTTTAACCATATCAAAAAATGTATAATTTGTATTAGTAGTATAAGCGTATTGTAATTTTTTTACATATACTGTACTGATTAATATACATTATATGAATATCAATTTGTATTGTATATGTTCCGATTGCGCGACTTTGAAATTGATTAATGAGCACAATTTTGCGACAAATTTCTATGCGTTTTGTGGATATGTGTTTTTATAAAGTTACCATTTTATATTGCTATTTGTATTATTATTGATGAATGTTTTCTGTATAACAAACTGTATAATATTATTTTTATAAATATATATATTAGGAATGTGAACAATTATTAAGTCTTGTTTTTGTTGAAAAACACCTGTGAAAATAATACTACAAAATTAATTATCGATTAGCAATAAAAACAAATTATATATATGTTAAAACTAAATGTAATATTTTGTTGATCCTAAGTCTGTTACATAAAATTTAAAATTTATGCAAAATGAAAATTTTTTCAAATGTATATCTCGTCATGTTTCAATTTTTACATATTTTTTATTTACATTGATAAGAAGTTTATTTCTAATAATAAATAAGTCATAAATAGTCACATTTGCATATACATCTCATGTCATCGGTTTCACATTTTTTTATTTATCTTTTTTTTCCGAGCTGGAAAAATGTGTGGATAAACCGAAATAATTAACAATGTTGATAGAAAACAATTCTATTTAGTTTCGTAGATTTAAAAGTATAGTTTCGCTTATCGATCATGTTTATAGAATAAAGAAACTCCACACTAAACCACGTGAAATTGGGTCTCGGCGAAAAAGGCTTAATTTAAAATATGTTGTATCTTTTGGATCACTGAACAAATGTTTTCTCAGGCAAAATGTCAAAAAATGGACAGTTTCGTTGTTTCAACCCTTTAAAAGCCTGATATCAGACACCAACAAAGATATCACTTTCGGACCAATGTGATTATTATTAGAAGAGAACGATATAAATTTTTAGTGGACAAAATAATTAAAGAATAATTCACATAATACATTGACGAATATATGACAGTAATGTATAAGTATTTAAAAGTAATTTAATTAATTTCGGAATAAAAAGTATTAATATTAATGATATGTATATATTTACAAAGGTTTTTAACACATTATTTATTAAATGTGAAATTGAATATATGATGATTTGTTAAATTGAATATGTGATGATTTAAGAGCGTTTAGAAAACGATCTCGTGCGACAAAAGTCAACAAAAGTCAGGCGAATAGATCAACAGTTTATAAATATTTCGTTTATAATATTCAGAAGTCATACGCGCGTTCACCATCGTCGTAGTATCATCGTTGTATTTATAGCGATTTTCAGAGACAATCATTTCAAATACAATCAGGTAAGATCGATAAATTATATTGTATTATATAAGTTAATTATTAATATATCTTGTAGTATATCTTAAGTAATATATCGCCGAGTTGTTCTACAGAGTCTCATTCTTGCAATATATAATAGTTATTACAAGATTTGATATAATGAAATCAGCAGTAAGAAAAAATTATTACAATTTTTTTATATCCTAAAGATCATGTATAATTCTAACGACATACTGACACTTGTCATTTATATATTAATAATCACATATATTTAAAGTGCGCCATATTTTATTATTGCAATTTTATATTTCCTTTTTTATTATGTATAAATCAATTGTTGAACACATATATATTAACATCAGAAATGTAACCAATCATCTTTACAAGATATTCAGTGTTACAAGAACTTTTACAAGCTTTTATAATTATTAGATATAAATTTCTCATTTTATTATAAATTAATAGATGTTGCTGCTATTAAGCATCGACAGTAAATATACTAATATTTCGTCTTTCGATCAATTTCACAGACATTCAAATGAAGAGCTTATTTTATTATTGATTTTCCAATTTTCATAAATACGTCACTCTTAAATCTGACAATTATTATATCTATGCCTAATCAAAAATTTATTATACAAATGACACTGATCACAATATTAAAATATTCGTTATTTATATTAAGTAAAACTTGCAAAAATTTATGTCTAATTGGTCAATTGGATTATTTTACATATATATCTTCCGGTTTTACCAAACTAAATTGTGTGTTCTTTTGTCTAATATTGTTCTTGATAAATCGTCCGACACATGTATCGGCATTTAAATAAAATTGATTATCTTTATAAATATACTATATTATATTAATTTATCACACATTAATTAAAAATCATAATAATGTTTGTAAGAATACTAGACATTAATCTTACTTCTTAATAGTTGAATTATACGCAAGAAATTCAAGAGAAAAGTAACAATTTTATCGATAAAATAAATAAGGCATTATTGAAAAGTTTATGCCATTTGTGTTATTGTTTTATTATATCTATATAGCAATAGCAGATATAAACACTTTGTGTTTTGCACATTTCTGACATTTTGACGAAGAGCTTAAAATTATTATTGATTTTTTAATTCTCATAAATATGTTATTACTTTTAAAGTACTTAATTATTATTTTTATTTTAACCGATTTACTATAACAAGAAATAATAATATGCTATAATAATTATCTATTATTAAGTAACACTTGCGAGAAGATGCGACATCTCAATGATCACTTTGATTTTCATATATGTTATGAATCTTTTTGTAATTTTTTCAAACGAAATTATATTTTTCTTTTTTCTCTAATTTTCTTAATTAGTTTTTTCGTTGTTATGTATCTGTTCTTATTATTTTTCACTATTATTTTTTCCATGCTACTATAAACATTTCTTTTAATCTTATAGTCATTATTATTATAAAATTTATCTTTTTAATATGTTTAAATTTAATTGTGAGCTATCAAACATATATGTAACTATAAAAATTTTTTTGCAGATCAATATAGCATTGCGTATCTTTATACTGATAAAAAAAATTGGATAAATAAACTACAATTTTGAATCTTACTGAAGTTTAATTAGGACCTTATTAAACATTTGTTTCCACGATGCATTTGATCAGTTTAATGAGAATCTTAAAACAAATTTTATGTTGGTCACATTTATTATTATTAGCTATTTTTGTTTGTATTTCAATGATACCAGGTAAAATGACAATTTATTATATATATATATATAATTTTATAATATATTAATTTAATATTTCATTTAATTATATATTTAATTTGAGTTGTAAGAGATGGAAATTAATGATCGTTTGCACATTTTCTTACAATTTTATGTTTTTTTAAATATTTATTGAAGAAGTAAATATGAAAAAAATATTACATATTATATTAAAATTAAAAAATGTGTACATACGACATACACACGCATACATACACACCTGTTCTACTAATAATCTATCTATATAACTGTGTGTAGTCTTATTACTAACAAATAAATTGATTTATGGTACGTATTGAAATATTAATAACTGTGTCATAGTTGCTGTGATATGTGAAGCAAATAATGAGACACATACTGTTACGGGAAATATGTCAGTATTCGTTACAAATGCTAGTATTCTGAATAATAATAAAACTAAAGAGCAAGTTCCTACAAAACAACACTCTGTCAATCGTTACATATATATTAGTATTGCAGTTGGAATTCTATTAATGTTCTGTTTTACTAGGTAAATAGATACTTTTACAGTACAATTTGTATATACCGGTAAATAGATATCTTTTCAACATCAGTGTTAACTTTCA